TTAATATTCAGTTATTTAACTTTCTGAGGTGAAACACAGTACACAAAAAGGACGTAGGGTGGTGCTTCACTGCTCCCATATTTATTTTCGCCCCTTTAGGTTGATTGTTCACATACTCCGCTGATGAGCACCGAACATGACAAGTGATTTTCATCTGAGAAGAAGTGCAGAGAATGAAAGTGACGTTGAGGCCCTGAGCCCTCATTCCAACGCAATGCACGTGTCATTCAAATCTGCCGCTGCATTTTTATTATAACATCACACTGCACTGTCTCTATCAGCACATCCAAGGCAAGTTTAGACACCATATTCAGAAAAAAAACAGTAAATATATGTAAGTTCAGTAATTCACAGCAGAACGTTTATTATTCTTCACCTGTTTAAAGAGTTTAACTTTCATTTTAAAGCCATTTTTAATTAAATGAGACTTGATTATGCATTACATATCACATATATGCAAGTTGTGATCGCTAGCAACATCTTGCTCTGATGAAGTTAGGCTTATGGATTACTTTGTAAAGGTGAAGTGTGTCAGTGCTGACATATAGAATATAAGGACAGGGGACCAATGAGATAATACATTTGGTGGATATCATCTCACCTCATGTTACAGTCAATTACAAACTATCGAACCACAAACCCATTTGTTAAAGTTTAGTGTGGCATCAGATTTCACCAGGGAACTCTCTGAAAGTCTCCTGAATCCCTGCACCTCACTTCAAAAGCAGCTTTGAGACTATTGAGGCTATAATTAAATGAAACACCACAAGAGAGGTTTTCTTTTCAGATGCATACATTCTTTATTGCATAGACTACATATTCTGCAGTATTCCTCTTTTTACAGTATGCGTTATAACATAGCAAAAGGCATTTCTGGCAATCAGCTAGGCCACAAACAAGGTTTACCTAACACGACCACATCACCCCCATCCTCAAATCACTCCACTGGTGTCCTGTTTTACTCAGGACTGAGTATAAGGTCTCCCTCCTTATCCACCAGTGCATCCATGGTGAAGCCCCCCCCCCCCACCTCAAGGAACTCCTCAAACACACTTACGGAGATCTGCACTCTGCTGAGTGTACTTACCTAGTTGATTATCAAAATAGTTGCTGATTAATTTCCTGTCAATTGATGACAATTAATCGACGCATCATTTCAGCTATAATAATGACAAGCCACAGCAGCTAATCTGCAAATAAAATGATTGATCCAAAAGTCTCTAATGGTACACTACATTACAGAAGTACATTATAGCCCCAAACTCTCAGATGGTTACACCTACAGGCTAATTTCATTCATTATACGTTATTGTTAAGATAATATGTTACACACTGAAAATAACTTTTCTAATTTTTCATATCCAGATTATGATTATTCTGATTATATCATCATCTACTAATAAAAATAAAGGATAAAACTGAATTTGTCATAATGATGAAGAAAAATAATCCCACATCTGATTTGGTCCAAATCACGTCACTGACAAATGCTAACATTGCATGCTCTTACATTGTTATCCTGAGTAACATTTTAATAAGCAAAAATAAACACAGAACTTAAAACTGAAAAGTGTTTTGCCTCTTGTGTAAAACACCGCTGACCACTACTGGTCAAAAGCATGAATTATACTTCGAGGGAGTGTGAGACTATAAGGACATACAGATTGTATAAAACACCATAAACAGACATGCGACAGAACATCTGTTCAGCAGCTGCCGTGCACGACATTGTGTTTAGTGCAGGCAGGTTAGTCGGCAGCAGGCTGACTGACTGATGCTGGATGGGGTCCTCAGTTTACACATCACATGTGTCTCTGTCACTAAAGCATCTGAGTCTGTGGAAGCATGTGGGTCTATGCTTAGTCACACCAGTGTAGAGATTTACACTACAAAGGAATAAGGAACAGTGCAAGAATTTGCTTTGGTTGTATTTGAATATTATGGATTAGAAATGCCATAATTGTACTATTTTTCCCCCAGTTTTCTATTCTATTCTATTTCTATTCTTCTGCTTTGGTGGACATATAAAAGCCCTCATCAAAGTAGACGTCAAAATTTGCCTGCTGGCAGCATTGACACACTAGATCCCACTGGACAAAGGCCCTGAAAATAAAGGAATGTGCTGCACTTCAAGACAAATATCTATGAATTTTTCAATTCATTGTTTTTGGCAGGGCACCTGAAAGATAGCTGATCCAGAGATCCTGATCTTACCTTGTTCCAGCACAGAAAGGAAAATTGTTTTCTTTGATTGCTGCTTAAAAGAAGACTAAACAGTAACTTTTAATTGTACTGTAAACCCAAGAAAATAATAGGTAAACCAAAAGTTAAGTTATGCTCTCATTTATTTAGTTACAGACCCATGAATTGGATACAGTGACTCCCTGTAACAGCTTCTAAAATGGTGGATTGGACACAGTGACTGTTTATGGGAATATCCTTTTTCTGATCATTGAGAGGAATGAAACTCAGTAAAAGAGGAATCTGATGAATTATGCATGTGACAAGGGATTTACATGTTTTTCTTGGGCAGTGCCACTTGTCCCCTCTGCATTCAAAATTTAGAAACATCGCATGTTCCCTCCCTGCCCTTTGGTAACTCAGGCTGTAAAACTAATCAGATAATCTGAACTGTTCTTACTGTTTCTCTGCCCTGGCTTGTAGAAAATCAAAGTCTCTCATGGGGAAGGAAAAACAGAAAACTATCTCTCCTGTGGTCTTATGAAGCAAATGTCATATCATGTGTTTCGCTATGGAAACAGACTTTAAACTTATCAAGGCTCATTGCTACTGAAGTTACAGGCCTACAGCATGTTCTGGTGTTGTGTCAGCACTTCTGTAACTTTAGGTGAGGGTTGCAGGAGGCTGTGTAGGTAATGTGACCTTGTTTGCCATGCAGCAGTCTTAGCACACTACACTGCACACCTCCCCTGACGGTAATTGTAAGAATCTGATGGATGCCCCGCCTTCAAAATGGTTTGGCCCTCTCTGCAGAGTTTAAAATGTGAAGTCTCCATTTTTCCCTTTTTAGTCACACAGCTGTATGACTAAACAAGGACTCCCTGCCACACAACTATTGATAATTAGGATCCATAACTTATGACTCACAGTTTCAGTTGCATATGCCGTTGAGTCTTCTGCAAAGCAAAGCTCCAGCAGTAGTCAGGCTGGTCTCTTACAGGCACAACATTTATTAGAGCTTAAATTCTCTTTTGCTTCCAACACTACATCTCCTGTCTATACACTGAAACATGTAGAGTGCTGTATGTGTGTGGTATTGTGTGGCAAAAGTAAACACAAATGTGTAACATAAATATGTTTTTGTTTTTGTTTGTCTCATTTCCTATCTTGTTAATCATGGAATCTGGCAACCCCTCAGATTGATCTGACATCCCTTTAGGGGATTCCACCCAGACTGGGAATCACTGTTGAGAAATACTACTGAACAAACAAACAGACGGCAGACAAATGGAAGGACAAACCTGAATAAAGGATCAAAGAAATATAACAAATGCAAATGCATCCATACAGAGCACAAGAAGGGTCAATGAGTGATTTGAAATATTCACTTTCACCAGATCACAACTATGAGAGATTTTGGAGCGACATGATAGAAAGCACAGCGACCAAGGGAGGAATATCTTTAGGAAGAATGGTGTTCACTCTTTCAGTGTTGTTTCAAAGACTTGGACATTACATGCCAAGGAGCACTAATGTTTTTCTGGCTGCACATGGTTGCCCAACACCTTATTGTTACATGCCATCTGTATTTAGCATGCTCACTGATGTGATGCTTCCATATGAGAACACAAGCAAGCAATGTTGTTATGGTCTTTTAGCCTACTGCATTCTTTAGGGTTGCAGGCGAAGCTCAGACTGTATTCAAGTCCGCTTGAAACTGAGCCCGAGCTGCTTGCAAAATAGTGATAAAAATTTTCAAATGTGTTGTGGAAATATTACTCAGCAGGATGTTACTGCAGGACTAAAAAAGGTCTGCAGAATAAAATTATGGCAGATGTCACCACCTTTTTTTTTGTTGACTATCTTTGATTTCAGACAAGAATATGACAAAAAAAGAAAAAGAAGGGGGGAGGGAGACAGACAGACACAAATTCCTAGACACAACTGTGACAAATTCAGCAGAAAATTACTAAATATGGCTCTGAGACTATAGTCTCCACGTAATCTCTCTCACATGAAACATCACCTAGGCTATATGATTAGGCTATATCCCAGGCAACACACCCAGCAGCCAGTGTAAGCGGAGATCTGAGCTGATGTCGAGCAGCCAGAGGCGCACAGACGTTATGGTCCTTCCGTGGTCATGCATGTAGAAAACAGGGGGAGTGAAATCTGAGGCAGCCTTATCAGCGGTAACCATGTGTGCGCAGTGGGCAGACAGAGCTGCATCCTCGCGCTCGCTGCCGAAAACAGGCGAACGGTATTGTATCTGTCGCCACACCCATCACATAAAGCCAGACACGGCGTGGAAGTGGGGAAGGGTTTCATGTCGGTGACAGCGACATGACAACAGCCGAGGGCTATGGGTGAGCGACAGATGAGTCACACACATCCACCAGCGTCCCCTCTTTATCCATCGAGAAAACTTGCGGCATAAATAGCTGGGTGGTGCCAATAATTATATGATGAATAGCGCAAAAATGCTGTCCGTGCGTGTGCGCGTGTGTATGTGTGTGTAAGAGAGTGGATGATGGGCGGTGATGGTGCACGTGGGGCCAGTTTAGGAGAGGTATTTAAAGATGTGGACACGTCTCTCTGTCAATGCGCATGATACTGCGGTTCCACTACTATGGCACGCTCCAACTCACCTTGAATCGGCGCACGGCCGCTCTCCTGTCATTCGGGTGCGGGGCCGTACGGAGAACCAATACACGCCCCAAAGCCTCAATCAGCAGCCAATCCAATGACAGAAGAGGCGGACCTGTGGATGCATTCTCACACTTGGTTTCACTATGCGCTCGTAAAACGGCTCCGTCTACTACAAACGCGGCGGTGCAGGTGCTCTGTCTCTTCGGGAGAGGATGCGGATGGAAGGACGGGGGAGGGAAGGGATGAAGGGAAACGCCACGAGGAAAGAAAATAGGATATGAAAAGGGGCTTTTGCTAAGAGACCGTGAGGTGCAAGGTCGAATATGAGAGATTGGTTGAACGGGGCACTTTGCGTGGTAATAGCTGGTCGGCAATAGTACTATGATTTGGTATGTGGCCACTCTGATAGCAAGTGTATTCAGCACCAGAGGAACGGCCGCTCAAGGTGAGTTGAAGTGCAATATATCTTGTGCCGCACATAGAATATGATGTCTGCTGTCTCCGCGTGGTACTGCTTTTTCTAATCGCATGGCAATTTTATTTGGCATGTTAGGTCATATGAACTGTGGGGGCTCTTTCATCCTAACAAATGGCTGCATCTCATATGTCACGTGAAAGTTCAGCCCTGGTTAAATCGTATCAGGGAAACAACAATTGCCTTGAAATGGCCTGGCCTCATGTGCATGATATGTGAGACAGGATGACCCACGTCTGTGATACGAATGCTATTCAGTGTCCAGACAGATTGACACAGATGGTTTGGTTGATAACGGCTGTTAGGCTTGTAGGTAGTGTGTGATTAAACAGCGAAACAAATGGGAAATAACGTTACTGCTGCTGAGGGGGAAATGTGTGCATTGTATCATAGCGAGCAGTCCCGTTTGAGTTCTCTAGAGAGGGGTGTGACCGTCTCAGCCCTCAAGATGGAAAAGTAACTAAATAAATAATGCATTGCGTGTCAGATAAAATGCACTCTTGAATTGATAACCCGGTGCTGCATGCATGGGATTTATATGCTGAGTTACACACTGCACATGGATACGGTCACAGTAGCCGTGTCCGATGCACCGAGCACATACAGGCTGCAATTGGCTCGCCCACCGGTTCATAAACTAGTCATTCCTGGAGCAACAAACCGCACAATATCCCTTTTGTTCTTATTTTTTTTTGCCGGAGCACACTGTATTGACCCATGTACTTACTTAACCTTGCTTTTCCACTAGTGTCCAGACGAGGGAGACATGTGACAAGCTGTAGCCTGGTAACTGATCCCAATGACCCCACATACCCAGTCAAAACTGGTCTGCTCACAGGTCTGGCTCCTCCTGTGAAGAGGTCCAAGCCAAGCACAATGTGACAACTTTCCTGTAATAATGCAGTGAAACACACGACTTGGGAGCAGAGAACCTCTCATGGGTGTGATTGTTAAAAGTAGAAATTATCCATTTTATGAAGGCATTGATAAGGGCTTAATAATATCGACTCAAAGGTGTTGTCTGGTATTGGCACTGCAATGAAGGTGATTTACTTTTGAATAGGCTTACAGGCTGCACCAGAGAGTCACAAATCACACTGTAGTCTGCTAGTAATTACAAATGAGGGCTGGTCTACTTCTGCTTTTACTGTGTCCCAGAATATAGTGTCTGAACCCAGTCTGATGCCAAACAGAACCGCTGAAATACATCTTAACACAAACTGTGACTCATTTTTCACCCTTTTGCTAATGACAAATACAACACACCAACCTGTAATCAGAGTATAAGTTTAGTTATATAGGCCTACATGAATTGCAGCATAATTAATTGACGGTTATTTGAGCAATGACATGTATAATGTACCAAATAAGTAGAGAAGAAATCATAGTGTGTTAAAACATTAAGATAAAATCATGACATTAGCATTAGGAGAAGCTTGGTATTTTGGGAAATAAGCTTATTCAGTTTCTTGCTGGGAATTAGATGAGAAGATCTCATATATACCCATCCAGTATGAACCTGCAACAAGCAGCCGATTGGCTTAGGTTAGTATAAAGACTGGATACAGAGGGAAACTGGTAGCCTGACTCTATCTGAATGTACAAATTCACCTAGCAGCCCCTTTGTAGCTCTCTAATTACCATGTGTGTTCAAGTCATGCAAAAATAGCAATGTAAAACAAAACCGTTTGGTTTTATGAGGCGCTAAGCTAAGGTAAGCTAAGCTAACCAGCCGTTTGATATTGATCTCATGATGGAGCATATTTTCCCAAAATGTGGACATATTCCTATTCAAGTAATGATAATTAAATGAGGTGCCATCTTGATACACCTGCTCTTTGATAGTAAGCTGCAAACCATATGCTTTCCGGTTGAAAGCCAAAGTCATAGTTACCTAACCCTAATCTACCCATTAGAAAACCATATTAAAGACAATTTGATGGGTTTTCACTTGTCATGGTGGGAGGTATGACCACTAATAACATGATTTCATTTACCTCATGCATGAGCGCTATTGATCAGATTTCAAGGTACAAATTAACATAAATCGAAACAGATTGCTCCAAAACATACATAAAAGTTGCATTACGGCAGCAGAGTTGAGCTGAGACTTTGTTCTTTTCTCTTGAGTGGTATTTTGTTATATGTGCCCTTTGCTCAATGTTATGTATGACCAATGACCCAAAGAGTCTGCAGAAAGACATGGGCAACAAATGTTTTACTTTCCTGTTATAAGGAATTAAAAGTGCTTACATTTCTATATTAGGTCTATATTTGGATGAAGGGGGCAGAATAACAGTTTTACTGCAAAGACTGGACCATCAGATAATACTATTTCAATCAGGAGTGACTTCATCTGAATGAACAAATAATTGACATGTCCACAGTGAATATGGGAAATGTGAAAAGTCTTTGGTAATTAGACCACATTGTGACATCATGGTATTTAAAGGGGGTGGTGAAGCCATGATGTGGTATAGAACCCCCCGCCCCGATGGAGTCTAGACACTAGTGGTGGTGGTGGGATGAAGAGAATGCTAAGGATCTGGATGTGATGAGGAGTGTACTTCTGATGAGCAGGAGGTAAACGTGGCAGAGGACGGATGCAGCAAGTTTGCACTGAAATGACAGCTGACAGCAGCAGAGAGGAGAAGAAATTTAAAGTTTGATAGTGACTATGTGGCAAAATCTGGTTGGTTTAACCAAAGAGTGAACACGAGAGACAGAATTGGGAGTGAATGAAGCAGCTGAGGCTTTTATCCAACGCAACTTACTTATACTTGCTGTATATGTCGGAGGTCACATGCCTCTGGAGCAATGAGGGGTTAAGTGTCTTGCTCAGGGACACAATGGGAATTGAACCCAGGTCTCCCACACCAAAGGCAAGCATCTTATCTATGCGCCATCACCACCCATCGCGGACATTAGTTATTTTTAGGAGAACAGTTGATGTATTTATTTTGAATGGATAATATTATAATCCTTAAGATTTTAGTCTTGGTTGATTTAGCGACACCTGTGGTTACTGGTGGTAAAAACAAAAGCGGTTTAATATTACAGGTCCCAGAATTCTGGGGACGGCAAAACCAGTTATTGCCATTTTCATAAAGAAGTCAGGCAGTAATTGTCCATTTTCCATCATTCTGTGAGCAGCCGTGATCTGATTTTATGCTGCACACAGCATGAGTCCGCAAACAGCAGGGCACAGTGAAAGGAGTTGTTTACGTCGCTAAGAAGTTGGAGGTGTGCGGCCTGTTGCCTGCAGCCTCCTTCTTGTTCCATTACTCCCTGAAATATTTCAAACTGATCCGCTGTCAAAAATGTTGAAAATGACCATTGTGTCTTATTTTGTAGATGCAGTTTTGATGAACTATAGCGGTAAGTGCCAAGGTCACTGACAAACACATTGCATTTCCTGTGACTACTTCATAATAAAAGTCAACTCATGTTTTGGTAGTGAAGTGCTTTTAATGTGAAGCTGCAGCAGTAGTAAATGTTCGGTTTGCATTAGTTTTAACTTAATTTTCTGGGAATGTCGCCGCCAACACCCAGTTCATAATACTGAAAATATATAAATATTGCCATACTTTCATGAGTGGGCCATAGCCTCAATCAGCATTGTGTTACCTCACTCGGCAATAGACAGTGACCCAAGGGACATTTATTTAAATGAAAATCTTTGAGATTTCCTCTTTAAATATCATGAGAAATATCATGACAGGATATTTTGTGTGATATCTTATATCACACAGCCCTACTTAAACATCCCCACTGACAGAGTTTCATTATGCTCAGATCACATCAGGCAAACAACAGCATCTACCAGAGGCTAGTAGTACAGCACAGGTCCACTGAATTTGTCTGGTCAGTTTCCTCCATTAGAGCTGCATATATTTGGAACACAATACCCAGCACTATCAGACAGTGCTGTACTCTCTTTAATTTTATATCACAATTGAAATCATGGCTGAAACATAACCAGTTATGTGAACATTAACCACGAAGTACTAAACATAGACTATTCTTTTTAATTTTTTTTGTATAATTTAATGTTTTAAATGGAAGGTTTTAGTTTTATCTGATACAATGTTTATTCCTGGTACTCCTGTTTGAAGTATAACGTTTGATGCCATGCTTCTTTTGTGGATTTGCCTGCCTAGAGACTGCTGAAGAAATTTAGCTATCTAGCTGAACTCCGGGACAGTCAATCACTGTCCATTGTTATAGTATATACTAATAAGGATGTTGTTAGACTAAAAGAGGTGACTATGTGGACTCTCATATTAACATGTTTGTTTTTGTTGGTGGCACAATATGATGCAATGCAGGTTGTGTTCTTCCCGTGCAGAGACATAGCGGCCATAAAGGTAGCGTCATCTGCAAACATAGGTAGTTTGAAGACGTGAGTGTAGGCAAATTTATTAATTACAATTAAATTAAATTAAATTAAATTTATATAGCACCAATTCACAACAACAGTTATCTCATAGTGCTTAATGTACATGGAATAGAAAGAAATCCATCTGAGGAGTTACAATTCTGATAATCAAATAATTATTTATGTTATTTAGCAAATAAATATGTCAAACAATTGTTGGTAACAGCCTGTCAGATATGAAGATGTGTTTGCTTTTTCTCTGTTTCATGTCATTGTTAATTAAATAGATTTCTCTCTGCCTGTTAGCAAATTTAAGACATTAGTCAGTACTGTAAGCTGTGATTGGCATTTAGTAGCTATCTATACGAACTTCAACAATCTAAAGAAACTATCCTCTGATTAAATAAAAAAAATGCTAGTGAATATCATAGTTGCATACTTAACATCCCTATACTGAGTTGCGATCATAGAGAGGCTGTGTCACAAGTAGAGTCAAAGATGCATGAAATGTTTCAAGTCTAAATAGGTCAAGTTTAGCTGGGATTATTTGCTGGTTGGCAGGATGGTGTTGAAAGTGGAAGGTGAAGTCAGTGGTCAGAATCCGGACATAAAAGCTGAGGGTGTCAATATGACTTTGTGGCTGTCATCTCTGTTGACTTTATCTGAAAAATTTGCCTGATAATGGAAACTGAAGCGGGGTCAAGCAATGGGTGTGTCATAACAAAAGGAAGATTTTGTTCAAAGGTTGACATGATGATTGGGCTCAGAGCCCAGCACACAATCACGGTTACTATGCACGGAAAATGTAAGGAAATAGACTTGAAGCGCAAAAATACGCTTTAGGGCGTGGCTGTTTGTGTATATAGTGAAAAACACGGCTGTAACTCAGCCAACACACACCTTTGGGGCTTTTTGATGTTTTGCTGCTGTGGTATTCTAATCAAAAATGTGGATTTGCAATTGAAAGAAACACTATATTTGCCTTTGAGTGCTACATTGTGCATAGGGTTGTCAGGCCATGGTCAGACAGAACACCGCGTAATAAAAGGTAGCCCCCTCATTCATTCAATGAATCCATTGGTTTGTCACAGTAGGGACAAAAAATTTTAACCTACCATTGCTAAAACGCAATGCAGTGTTTGCTGGCAATGTGCTGCACTGGTCAAATACAGGCACGCGCACATTCCTGGAGGATTACTTTGTAACATAAACATTTTCAAGGGTTGTAACACACTTCCACACATCAGAAACTGCTATGCGGTGTTTTGGTGTCTGATAAGCCTTCAAACTCATGGATCTATTACTTACACTGGCCATTCTGGATCTAATTTCATCATCTCATCGCTACCTACCCTAACAACACATCACCGCCAACGCAGCTCATTGCGTTTTTAAAATACAGGGCTGTTTTCAGTCTAAACGTGTGGTGAACAGCTTTGATCCCTGCACACAATAAGTTCGCCTGTGCCTTGTGAACAATCTCATGAACTTGGCAGTGTTCTTATTCTTGGCGAGTGCTGGAAGTGTTGGGTTTGTGGTTAGCTGTTTAATAAAATACTAAATTAAACATTACAAAAAAATAATTAAATTAAACAATTTAATCCACTTTCACAAACCATTCAAATTAATTACAGAAAGTTCAAAATTCTTGTACTTGAGTATTGTTTTTACAACCAGTTAACAATGTGGTTAACTGGTTGTAAAAAGAGTCCGAAGTCAGTGATTTAAACAGGATAGCTCAGGTATAAGTAATCAGTCACAATAAATGGACGGTCAAAGAAGTTTTCCAGAGCCAAATGCACATCGGGAGACAACATATGGTCGGGGAGACTCGAGGTTAGTTCAACAAAGTCAACGGTGACTTGGCAGCCGATCAAGGTGATGCAAGAAGGACGCTGATGGCAATACAGAAGTACTTAAATGTCATTGGCAAGTGTTGGGGAGTGGTATATGTGAAGGACTATTTTCAGCATGAGTGATGGCAGGCTGACTCTTCTCTCAGATCCTGTTCTGGGGCTTGCTGGTACTTTTTTAAGTGTTTTTTGAACTGGCTTTTGGCCAGATGGTATTCATCTATAACTCCCTCCTTATGAACCTGCTGCTTGAAGTTTGACTTGGATCTCAGGATCCCTTGTGAACTGTGGCTTGGCACATTTTTTCTTGTCGCGGGGTTTCTTCTGAAGGCATGCTCAAAGACAGAGATATATAGAGGCAGAAAGTATTTGTGAAGGTGTCGAAACTGCCACCAACGTATCTGAGGCCTCCCAGTAGTGCTGAAAGCCCTCCCACTGTCTCTGGAGTCCATCTTGAGATTGTGGTTCAGATAGACTTGGCTGTCTTCGGTTTTTGTCTGGATGTTGGAATTGTCTGGGACATTGTGTGAGACTGTTGTGGCTGATACCTTGAGATGTCTGAGGAAATGTCAACATCTGCAGTGTTTTCAAAAGTTTTAATGAAATGGGTAAGAGACATGTTTGTCTTTCTTAAAACATCTGCTGCAGTGCACTCATGTGCTTTCTGTTAAGACTACTTTTCTGTATTTGTTAAAATGCATAGGACACACCTCATAAAACTGCAACAATAGAATGTAAATGTTTTGGTGGAATTTCCTTTTAAATATGATTTATGCCAATAAATCACATTTGTTGAATCGTGTCAAGGTGTTTGGCTCTTAACATATATTAGAGTCCAAGCCCTCTTGACCTCTAAGAGCTCTTGCAGACCCTAGCAGCATTGTTAACAGTCTGGTGATGGGCACTAAATGACACAGTGCCACAGCGTTGCAGGGGATGGGTCATTTCTGTTTAAAAGCATTTAATTCTGCAAGTGACTACAGGAAAGAAAAACAATACTAGAAGAATGAGGTCAGTTTTCATTTTATTTCGTGGTTGTGGTTATTTACACGTTGCAACTTTGTCTTCTTGTTTTCTTTAGAGATTGTAGTCATGAATGCAGTACTCTTTGCTTGTTGTGTGACATGTTTTGAAGTTCTCAAAGTAAGATATTTTTATATATGGATAGTAAAGCACAGGAGATTAGATAAAGTCATAAACTACCACTGAAGTTTTCTGTACACTGCTGAGTTCCTTGGACAGTTATGTGTCTGTGCTGACATTACCGAATGTGTTGAGACCAGTAAGCTGAATACACATTGCTCTTTGTAGTGCAGGATTTTCTGTGCTGACCAATACAGTGAATGGATACATGACAGGTTGTATTGCAGAAAGAGCAGTATAACTCCTTATCATATTTCCCTCTCATTCATTCACTGATTTCTATTGCCAGTAGTAAAGGAATCATTCAGATCCTTTACTAAAGGAAAATATAATTTTACCACCATTTAAAAATACTTCACTACAAGTAAAATACCTGATTAAAATGGCCCTTAAATAAAAGTACAGTCATATTAAAATGTACTTGAAGTATAAAAAGTAAAAGTACTATTATGCAAAATGGCCCTGACAGTGTGACATTATATATATTTTACATTATTGAATTACTGATGCATTAACACGTGAACACCATTTTACTGTTGTCACTGTTCCTATTTTGTGATTTCATCTTTAGAAATTGTCATGCTTTATAAACTTATATATTGTAGATTATAGTTTTGTCTGAGAAGTAACAGTAACCGTAGCTGTCACATAAATGCAGTGGATTAAAAAGTACTGAAATGTGTATACAGAATACAGAAACACAGTACCTGAGTACTTGAATAAAAGTACCTAAACCAGGACCAGGTCTTGCTGGTATATGATGGTACTTAGCAGCACAAAGTCCCCGTGCAGCTCATCCAAACATTGCAAACAGCTTTTAATAAGAACCCAATTTAAGCTCCTGTTCTCTCAGAGCACCAATAAACAGTACTCACTCAGTTGTTGTCTAATCTTTAGCAGCATTGTGTCATTTCTCTTCTCACCTGTCCAGTTTTTTATGTGTATTAAACACATCTGCTTGACTGATGCTTTAACTTGCCTGCCAAGCCGTTTTGAAATAATTT